ACCTTCATTCAAGGCCGATTTCCAGCTTGGAAACTCTCGCGAACGAGTTTCTCTATACCTTTGTTGTATACACGCGCTAGCCTTTGCTATCGATTAATGTTCTGATTCGCATGACTCGCTCTACTGTATTTTGTTGGAAGAATTCGAGGTGTTTTCACACACTATGTACCTACTCGTTTGCTCCAAAATTACCATGATTCTTACCAAGTGTTTTCAGAAATCACTATACGTTTATCCACGAAGATATTACCAACACTGGGCTAACAAAAGGTGCAGATGATGTTTTTTGCCTGTGCTAAAAATACAAAAGTCAATCGATAGTAACTTGGAGCTTGTGCAATTTTTTTTCTTTTTAGCACGTTTCACGTCGAAACATGACAAAAGACAACTGATAATCCATTTATCTTCCTTTTTTTTTCTCTCCAACGCTGCACTTTTTGGCTTCACTTTATTTATTTCACCACATTTGCCTTGTTGTTTACATACTACACGTGGTGTAAAATGAATGTACGAGCTCGGCTCGAAAGTAATCGTTAAATCAATTTTTCCAACGCTTGGCTCTCTCCCCACGGTAAAATGTATTCACGATAACTGCATCGTCAAATATGTTATTACGCGTGCTCCTTTGTGGACAAAAGTTACAATTTAATTTTCACCTCTATCTGGTCAATGGTTTTTCATCAACGCTACTAGCATGTCCTTTTTCTAAAAACATCCAAAGCACTCGATACAAGTACCTACTACTCGACTATCTTCAAATTTAGCAAGCGGTGCACCAAACTAAAATAAACAAATCCCCATCGAAACCAAATGCCATTGAAACAACGCACCGACCGAGAGTTTCCAACAGCATTCGTTAGCAATCGTTGTTTTTGTGGCGATCGAAACGAGTGCAGTATAAAGCTATACTTACTATCTATACGTGCATCATAAGTATACGCGCGAGCGAAAAACAAGCAACGCGAGCGATAGACAGCCCATGACTAATACACCTCATTCGCGATGGAACGACATTGTATGTATATGTGTGTGTATGGTATAGTTGTTGAGCGGAAAGACAGTTGACTCATGTCGTGAGCTTGTGCGTGGGTTGTATATATACGCATCCAAACGAAGAGAAGAATATTATAAAGAGGAGCAGGAAAGTGGGTCGCGGAACTTGTGGGAAGGATCCACTCTGATGGTGATCAGGATTTAGACTGAAATCGGGGAACGTGGGGCATTTAAAAAAAAATGCTTTTTTTGTTTCGTTTCCAAAGTAAAATTACGGGCTCTGTGCGGGTGCTAGAAGTGATCAGGCTAGTGAAGGGAATACATTAAAATACCATAGAATGATGACCTCGTAGGACCTTGTAGCTATCAAAAAAAAAAAAAAAATTGTTTTTAAAGGATATCAGCTACAGACTTGGTAGCAAAAAAAGTGTATAATGCGTACAGATGTACACAAAAGTATAAACAGAAAGTTGATGAGTGAGGCTAGAAAGTGGGATTAAAAAGAGGTGAGAAGTTGTGCAAAAAGAAATAAAAGAAAAAAATTGTTAAAAAGCGAACTATCTGCACGTAATTACGTAAAGTTAGTTCATGTAAATAATAAAAGAAAGAAAGGGGCGTAAAGTCAATAACAACCAATAGTAGCAGTCGTAGTGTTGAAAAAAAACAAGGTGTTTTGTTAAGCTACACACAATATTTATCAATAACAGCAAGTGTAAATAAATTGACGGGCAATACTGTTTAATCATTCGTTTATATACGCTTTTATTTATTACAAGTGTTTGTGTATGCAGCTTCTTGTTGTTAATACTTGTACAAACTCCATGTAACAAATAAGTGTTAATAGAATTAAGTTGAGCAACTAAGTTTATGTGTGTAGGTACATTTAATTCATTGAAAAGTGACGATGCATCATAAGGGATGTTAAAATTTATTTAGAAATGAAATTAATAAATCGCAATACCCATGTCTTTTAGTCCTTGGGAAAGGTTATTACGTATCAAAAAGATCGGTAAAAAATAGGGAATACACACCACTTTATTTTAGGGCTGAGATGATATTCGTTCACTGACGTTTCTGCACTATCGAAATTTTTCATTAATGTTTTCCATTGAGGCAAAAAAAATAAATTCATTTTAAACTTCACTTCGTCATTAAATTTGCACTGAAGTGTATAAAAATACCGTTTGACGTCACATTAAATCGACTTTTTTGATACATCGCATCAAATTGGAGTATATCACATACCACGATCAAAGATTTAATCATGGAAATTGAGGTGTACTCCAATGATCTTCGATGCATTGCAAAATTGTGACATTGTCCATTTGTAAGAGGCTAAACTATCACACGAATTTGTGGTACCGGGGTATGTGGTAGTACGACGATTGAAGAATCCCAAACGCTTTGGTATAGTCTTCACTGAAGCAATACACATCTAAAACTCAAAATACGATGTCAAAGTAACCTAGTTTAAAAAATGTCTTTCACCACAAGATGCCTACATGACAAAAATATATACACCTATGCAATTTTATCGCTCACCGAAGTAGATTTTTGTTCTTTTGCAACTCTAATGCCGTCGCGATGGAATAAAAATCAAAGAGATCGATTTTTCTGCTAAAAATACATGTATGCATGAATCATATATTGGGCAAACGCGCAAACTTTCTGGTATATTGCACAACTTTTATTCGCCTGCACGATATGTATAAAATACACACATGAGAGTCGGGCGGTGTTATTAAACGAACAAGAAGCGAGAAAGTGAATCGAAAAAAAAATTGTTATCCACACTTGGATTAGTTGTTGGGAAAAAGCGCGCTCGTATTACAGCAACAGAAGAAGAGTCTCGACGCCACGTTACTTACATATCTGTATAGTATACATGAATCAAGCCTCGAAGGATGTGTATCATTATATTGGGAAATGATTGCAAGGCTCCGACGGTGCCTTTTCCTGTTTCACACTTTGCTGCATATTACACTGGCTGGTGTCTTTTCGCTTCCCTCTCCGCGTTGTTGATAATTTTATGGTCTCGAATTGGGTAAATTCCGTATAGGTTTGTGTGAAAACTGTTGATTAACTTTTTCTTTTTTTTTTTATTTACTGTACATTGGATTGTGCCTTATTGTATAATTGTAGAAGATGGAAAAATCAAGTAAGAGCGTATAGATACAGACATTTGCGTTGAGCAGGATTTAAAATCCATAAAATCGCTTTCTTACACTTTTTGAAGAAATTGTTAATAGATTGATTTGGATTTAAATGTTTCTATATAATTGCGACAAGCGAAGCACTTGAGTGTAGTTGGTACATGAATGTCAGTTATAAATTTAACAATATAATAATTGCTTCATGGAAACAAATGAAAATGTTATTTTTTATTTTTATTTTTTTCTATAAAATTCTCGACGTTGACACTAATGATAAAACGTATTAGTCCATCAGTCGCTGTTTTATTCCATTAAGTGTACGGAGTGAGTGCATTAGCGCGTTGTACACTTATAGTGGATGGGGACAAATCAATTTACCGAGTAAAATGTGTTTCCAAAACTTTTATTTATAAAAGCGGAGTAGCAATAAGTAGATTAGAAACTCGCCAAGCGATTATTTTTTGTATCGACGAAAAAAATTCGGTGAAGTATGTAGTTAACTGAAAAATAATCATTTACTTATCGAAAGCTTATTCACCAACGAACATAATTTTTTATGCCTACAAAAACATACAGGGGTATCAAAAATTACAAAATTATGGATATCTATAGTTTGATAATTCATTAATTAGCTTTGTGGACACATTATCCCTTCTATTACAAGAAATAAAAATTATTAAGCACTTTTGATTAAGTTCCAAGACTGTAACATCAGTGGGGATTATTTTAATGTTTTTCTTTCGCACACCAATTGTTATGCAAACAGGTACACGCGCACGTGTACAATCATAAATTTTAATGGTAAAAACATGAAGCACAAGTTTTTATTGAGTAACAACATATACCTCGAAAAATACATGATACATTTAAAAGCCCGGAATGCCTTAATTTTTAATGTTGATAAAAAATAAATCAACCCAAGACCTCCTCGTGCCTTATTTTCATGGCACTCAGTTATTATGTACATTTTTAGGCCACTCGTCGAATATCCACGTGCGAGCAATATAGCATAGCACTATATTATAGGGTAACCATCAGCAGTAAAAGGAAAAACTCCGACAATTCCCTCATTATAACTTACATACAAGAAAATCGACGTTTTTTTTTTTTCCTTCGCCTTCGCATTACGTGGGTATAATACACGCGGTGCCTGTACGCCAATCGATCGTACATACCTATCACTCCCTCGTAGAATCAGCACTTGGTAAAGCCGGCGTTGTTTTTTTCTCTGTATTATTCTTTTGTGGCAGCTATCGGGGAGAAATCGAAGGTAGAAAAGCTCGCGAACGATTTTTTTTTTTTTTTATTCTATTGAATTCGGTGAAAACATTTAGGACTGTCGCCGCAGTGGAGCAAATAATATACATATATCTTTGGACCGTTGTGTTATTTCAGTCGAGGATGAGACTATGGGAGAGAGTGGTTTTTTTTTTTCGTCTGACTCTCGTGTGCGTTGAGTTCGAAGATACAAGAGTTTTGTAAAATAAACGCTTAATTCGTGATGTTCTCTCTCTCTTTTTTTGTTTGGCATATTAACACAAGTGCAGTGTCGGAATTTTCAATGTATATATTTTATAATTTATGCGTGGAGTTAACTCGCGCGCTGCTATTGCACGCTGGGCTTTTTAATTCATGCAGACTTACGGAATTCATATTTGTGACGAAAAACTACCCGATCTTGTGGCTTTTCATATACTGCACGTGCAATACTTGTTTCAAGTGTACTAAACATATAACGTCTAATTAGCAATTAATTTAATCCGTGCAGTGTAGAGCGGGATTTTCCAGTTTTTGGAGTTACTTTTTACCATTTGGTAAAATTGAAGTCGCTAGTAATCTATTTATGTTTCAATGATGTGGTCAGTCAGCATAATTATTACACGATCATTATACATTAGTTGACACATTTTCAAGGGGTACTTTTTTCCTTAGTAAAAACAAGAGTAACGTTTCTTTACTAAAAATATAATCGACCAAACGTAATATGGTATGCCTCAGCCATGCAGGCACGAGCATTGTTATGTGTCGGGATTTTGTCACTATAGATTGATAAATTAACGTCGATGCTACCAATTTTTATTTAAAAAAAAAAAAAAAAAAAGAAATAAAAATTTTTATNACGAGCAGCGTCAACAGCAGCAGCAGCAGTAGCGGCAGCGCGAGCACGACGAGCGCCTACCACCATAGTAAGAAGCGCAAGCTAGAATACGACCTCGGCCAGCCGGTCATCCAGCACGCCCTGGTCCACTCGTCCACCAACGATTACCCGACGCTCTTGGACAATTCACAACAACATCAGCAACACCATCAGCAGCAGCAACAACAACAACAACAACAACAACAGCATCTCGGCCTACCATCGTCGTCCTCGTCCTCGCATCACCATCATCACCACCATCACCATCACCATCACAGCAGCAGCAGCAACAATAACAACTGTCACAGCAATCACCATCATCATCACCACAGTAGCAGCACCAGTAACAGCAACAACCATCAGCAGCACCACAGCAGTCGCTACTCTTCGTCGGGGAACAATAACACCATCAGTGGTAGCAACAGCAACAACAACAACAACAACAACAACAACAACAACAACAGTGGTAGCAGTGGCGGCAGCGGTAACATTGCAACTGTTTTTGGCTTGCACCACCAGCCGGCCAATAATGGCCTGCACCACCAAAAGCAGAGCCCGACATCACAGCACCAGCACCACCAGCAGCAGCAGCAGCAGCAGCAGTGCGCGCCTCCACGATCAAACTCGTAGACACGTATCAGCGCTGTGGCCAAAAGGTTTTTTACAATGTCTGTTTTTTTTTTTTTTTTTTTTTTTTTTTTTCCCTAACATTCTACTTCACAGCAACCGATTCCACATGCGATGATGTAGAATTTTTTTTAGCCGAGGATGATGCGTTTGAAGTTTCAAACATTGAACTTATCTTGTTGAAGCACCAAAAATTGCACCAGGTGACACGTGCTGTCTCTGTCCTAAATTTTTTTCTCAAGTGTGAGACCGTACACTTTTTTTTCAAATATCTAATTGGTTATTGGGTTACGCGTCAGAGATACTTGTACTGAAACAAATAAAATCCAATAGTTCGGAAACATTGCATCGATTATTCTTGATTTTGGACAAAGTTAGTAATCGTTATCGTGGAGCTTTTCCCAGGTGATGGGTTTGACGAAATAATGTTGACCACTGTTGAGACGCTTGAACGTACTGAGTAATATACGAATTATCCATTTTACAAAAAAAAAAAATGTTTTCAATCTATAGTATCGATTGAAAACTGACTCGAGTGTCACCTAATTGGTCTTTGGACGTTGGATACCTGTTTTCTTACAACTTAATTTATGAAAAATTAGTTATTCATTTTTCTTGAATATTTAATCAACAATACAGGGGGTGTGGCGAGGAGTATGGTGTAGTTGCAATCTATAAATTGTTTATTTATTAATTATCAAGACTCATTCTGAAAACTCAACAGCTTCTCTTAAACCTTTAACTAATGTGTACTTTTGAGGTTTTTTAAAAATCATAATTAATAATAACAATAATGATGATAATAATCATACAGTGAATCTTTCTATGAGATTGTAGTTTCCAAAAGCGTGCACGTACCAAACTACGCAAACGACCGTCCATCTATACACGTGTATAGCTGTGCATGCGATAAAAGTCTTTACGTAACGCTATACACATTTATCTACCACACTGTGCTCTTGCTGTTCTCAACGTATTTTCCTGAATTTTCCTCCTGAAAGTTTCTCGGTGAGAGTTTTCCTCGTAATTACGCGTTGCACACATTTCGCCTTTCAGCTACCCGCGTGTAAGAGAGCGAGATGATGAAAGTATGAAGATGATGCATGATTGCCTACTGGTGATGTTTTATCGAGGGAAAATCTATGGACATTTGTTTTTTCGTTTTTTCCTAGCAAACAATACGAGTAATTGTTAGGTTACTTTCTCATGTAGATTAATCAATCTTAAACAATGATTTTTTCAAAGAAAAACATAGTAGTAGAACAATTCAACTTTCGACTATAGTTAATTCTTGAGAAAAGCCATACTTTATTGTAAACTTTGAGAGTATTGCAAGATTTTTTTCTTTTAAAAAGTACAAACCAATATTATAAAAGTACCGGAATGCAGTGTCACCTTTGTTAATTTATTTAAAAATTTTTCCGCCAAAATTATATGTTAACAATGTACAATATACCTGAAATTGTACGAAAAAAAACAAATGACTTTATAGACTCTCACTATTGTATTAATATCATGGTATTCCGACGATGTGGACAGCTGATTTTTCACCTACACTGCTGAGATGTAATTGGCATCGTCATTCACGTCATCATTGATAATCGCGTCTTTTAGATTGTTTTTCAACATGCCTCGCTCTACGCCTGTAAAAAATTTATCATCCATAAGATAATAGGTGAAATTCAAAAAGTGATTAATTAGGCTATTAGGAATTAGTACGAATTTTTTAATATTTATTACAAAGTTATTTTCTGATCTGTTGAACGGTAACGTTACAAGTTACAACACAAGCTTTAAAATGAAAAAGAGTAATTCAATTTATTGTTTAAAAAAAAAGTTGTATTTTTCTGTACTTATTAAAAACAAAGTCTTAAATACATGTAGGTCATCTAGTCCCAGAAAAACAAAAAACGAATACAAAAACTAATGGAGTTCTAAACAGATGTTAGTTGGTACCATGCATTATCGAAAAGTATTTATTAAAACGTAAAAAAAAGAACTTACACGCTGCACTTGAAAGATCGTTTATAAATGATTTTTTACTCAATAATATCCCTTGTACGTCGAAAAACTTTTAATATACCCAAGTAACATTTTATTTTGAAATATTTGCCTTTTAATGCCTACATATTAAGGGGATTCCAACACCTCACCAAGAGATAAATGCTTTATTTCAAGCAGTAAATTTTCTCACATTACATTAAAAGAATTTCTTATATTTTCTCCATTAACTTCATATTTTTTTAATATTCGTTCTTAGAAGATACCAAAAAGAGACATTACACAAACGATTAAATGGTACTTTAAAATGATTCACATTTACTTGGACTCTAATATTGTTTTTATATGCTTGTCACGATGTTGAATCATTTTATGTTTTTGAAAACAATTAAACATTCCGTTATTTAGGTTTAATATTTTTAGATCATTATGCTATTAAAATTTTCATGGTAAAAGTATGTTTTTAGGCCACTTAAGGATGTTCGGAAGTATCATTCAAAGGGACGAGGAAGGGGGAGTCCCCTATGCTCGCGCAGCTTGGCCCACTTTACCGCGCACCCCCTCTTGCACCCCACAAACTCAATATTTTCCTGACGTTTAACGTTTGCATTGTTTAAAATGCACTATAACATGCTTCTAAATTTTGCTCACCAAATAATTAAACAATAATTAACTCGTAGGTCGATTTTTTTCAATACCTTTGCATTTTTCAAAAAGTTTTGTCCATTTAAGCGAGACAAAGAGGTTACTTTCCACAAGAGCCTGGTTAATCACATGATTTTCGTTTGTATAATTCTTTTAAAAATGACCTGTAACAAACATTGAAAAAATTCATATTTTACGTATTTTTTAGTATTAAGAAAACTCTATATTATTGTGATCTCTACATTTTATTATTACTCCCGAACCTCCTTAATTACACATATTTTGAGCTTCAAAATAAATACTTTGTGTATTTTTACTCCAATACTAGCTGTCTAAAGCTTTTATAAAGTAGTATGAAATTTTAATACTAACGTATACAGTTTGTTTATTCGTTATCTAAACAAAAAGTTGGACCTAAAAATATGAAAATATAAATAAAAAATAAATAAATAACTTGAAAAGGTAAATTATAACGCACATTTGTTTAGCTGATATAATAATAATAATCAACGTAATAAAAGTTTCCTCATTCGATATCAATACAACCAATAATTTACAAGTGTGTCAGCAAAATAAGTCTAACAATTAAGTGTTATAAGACACAGTACAAATGAGTCAGTATCTTATCATTACTTTCACAGTCTAACAAAATTGTTGTTAAGAGATAAAACCTGCTGTTGTAAAAATTTCTTTTGTGATGGTGAAAGTGTGAACTTGAAAATCAATCGTCATTACGTTTGAAAAATTAACATTAGGAATATTAATTAAATAAATGATTTATTAGGAAATAGCTGTTGATGAAAGTTTGATAAAACTTTGTAACATTTCATTGGCAATGACTTTTTGTACTACATCAAATAACTAATTTCTTTTCTTTCTTGAGCTTACTACTTTGAAGATTAAATAAATCAGAAAAGGGTTGCAAGTAATGTATCAAAAACGAGAAGCATATTTAATTTCATGTTGTCACGGTATGGTTCGTACATGTAATCGATAGTTTTTGTAAATATATAATAAGTGTTTGGTTGTGTTGGATAAAAAGTTGGTAAATATTGAACATATGTTTAACTCGAAAACTTTAGGTTCAAATATTTATTTTTCCACTATCCACGAAATGAAACGTATGATTATTTAGTCATTGTTTGCAATTATTCCATTATTTTTTACTCTGAAACATGCATTGTTTTTGCTTCATTGCGTATTTTACAGTAAAAAAATAATATATAATAAATTTATTTTCAATAATATTTATAAGTTGACGGTCATAATCGCCTTTTCTTATAAACATACTTTCGACGCCAACTTTTATAATACGCAAGCTATTTTCGAGCAACTCTCACTAGCAAAAATCTTTAATCTTACTTTGACCGTAAAATCAAGAGTATTAAATTTGATACGAGACTTTCCTTTGGCTAAACGTTGATAAGAAAATCGGAAAACGATAAAATTGAAAACACATTTACACATTACCTAGTCGATAGTTAACACTGCGCCGCTGTGACGCACAGTCATGGATATACTTTCCAAAAGTGCCAACAAATTAGTCATACCGTAAATTACATATTTCTTTCTGAGAGATGAAATGATACCATCAGCCTCAAAAGTTACAGTTGAAAATTATTTTTATCTCGATTACCATTATTATTATTAAATAATGTTAAAAATTCCTTACTCATCTTACTTGAAACGTAAATTTTCCACGAGATGAATAACAACTTTCTAGCATTTTTATGGAATTACAGCTACAGGGCTCCATAAGTATATACAATCATGGCTAAAGATGCGCATGTGCACGACATGGGTACGACCGTACGATCGTTATATAGATAATCCAATCTGAAGCGTCGATTCATTTCCCCATTCGGTCAACGACCGGGCTCGTACCACCACGCTATAGTCGCAAAGCTTGTAACAACTCTGGTACTAATTACTTACAAGGCAGAAAAAATCAGATGTAATATTTTTTTCACCCTCGTATATCTCTTTAAAATTGCCTTTTTTTTTTGCTACGGAGCTCGGAATATTTTTGTTGCTACAAAACGAGATAAACAACAGTCCGTCAAGTGTATTAGTCACTTTTAGCTATTTTCTCATGACGCATCTGATACAAAATGTATGAAAAAAAATCTCAGTATAACATCAGCTTGAACGAATGTCTCGTAAGATCTGTAAAAAAGAAAAAAAAAAAACTACGATGACCTATGAAATTTCCAACGACAGCAACCAACTATACCCTACGACTCTACCTCTATTTATGTAATCCAAACAAAAAAAGTCGATTCGTTCAATAAAAAGAAGAGAAAAAAAAACAAAACAAAAAAATCTGAAAGTAAAAGAGGAATCAAAGTAGAGAGAGATAGAGAAAAAACTTTCACACGCGCGTGCGAGAAGCCACGTGTCTCGTACGTGTGCGTAAAAAATAAATTTTAGGCTCTGCGAACGGACCATCGATTTTTTTCAAGGTTACACCATTGCTCTCTAACTCGCACGCCACAGCAATTTATTTTATGTATTTACGCGTCGCTCTCGCACGCGTGTGTATATTCTTTTATATAAATATCGCGTATCACCGAAAGATACGAGCTTATAATATAGAGATAGAGAGTGTGCGTACACGTGTAGCCCGTATCTGTCGGTGTGGTATATACATAAAGTGGGAATTTCCATGGAGACATGTATATACGCCCGAAGATTGTCGACTTTTTGTTGTTTTTGTACATATATTCTTCTCGTATTTTTATCAAATCAAAAAATAGTTGTAGCTCTGTTTCGCCTGTGAAACGGATATTTTGAAAGTAATACATATAGTAATTAAAACGATGGTATGGATGGCATTTGAAGACGTGATGGATGATTTTGCAAATTTATGTTTAAGGATGAATTGTAGATCTCTTTTTTTTTTTTTTTTTGCACATTTTTTCCAAAAAAGTTAAGTGAATGAGTCTGCCTAGAGAAATCAGCGTCTGTTCCGTAAATGGAACATGTTTCTCTAAACTTGTTTGAACATGTTCGACACGTAGGTCTAACAAAGCTCCGCGAATGGTTTCAAAAGGGCCCGTGTTTGGTAATTTCTATTATTCCATCTAAATCTAAACAAATTGTCACAGGACTACGGAAAAATACTGTTGGTGATCTAGTAATACCAAAATTTGTAATTTTCGTGCAAATGAAAGTCCGAAAGATTCATAAAATAGTACAACAAATTGATATAGATAGCACGCAGGGGGCGGAGCCATCTGTGCAGTATCACGAATGTGCGAAACGATCGCGTATGGTTTTGCGGACCGATACGAAATTTAGAACCGATACTTGTTCGTGTTACGGCGAAACAAATGATTTTGGACAATTTACATAAATTAAAGGAGCCCCCTAGACCTGTACATTGATGGTGACGGATACGCTTGACAAAAAATTGGTGTTCTCAAAGTGCCAACTCCCCCCCTCCCTCGAGTATCATCACACTGTACAAATTTTCTAAACTAAGGCGTCCCCACCATACGGTAATGGAAAATGGCCACGTTGGACAATTAAATAACAATTACGAAGCAACTTTCCCTTTGTACAGTGCACCGGTGAAAAAGCGGGTGCATGTCCCATTGCTTCATTACCAATCGAAATTTCGAAGGGTTGAGTCTTCAAATTATCGCAAATTATTTCTGTGGTACATCTGTAGTATTTAAACCGAGGCGCGTACTTCTGTCCTTAAATTGATTCTGTGGCATAAGTATATCTGTAGTTTTCAAACCGACGGTTGTGTATTTCTGAACGGTGGTTTCGAGCGGTTTCGAGTGTTTCGAGTGATTGTCATCCCAAGGTGCGAGGATGAAACTGAAGGTTTTTATGGGGGTGAGACGCCCGGTACCGGTGTGGATAGGCGGTATCGTTATGGCTCGCAAACGAGCCTCTCTGGCCCGCCACAATCGAGCCCATAAGATTTTCCGGCCGTGGGAAGAAGCACGTATTTTTATTTACTCTCGATCATTGCTTTTTGTTTTTCCTTTTGGTGCTCGACAAGAGTTACTTTTGAACGACAGTCACATCTTTGATTTACACAATAATAAACGCAACAAAATGATATAACTGTAATGTAACGAAATTCATATAGTTTTTCCAAAGCAATGCAAACTTTGCATCATCACTGTAAATCCAAGCGTGTTAAAGTACACGTTGAAAGTGTGCAGGGTTGCAATTTTCGTTATTTATAAAATACATCGTGGTGGCATCTATAAGAATTTGAAGAACAACCAAATCTATGATGCATCAAGTGTTTGACCAGTTTTTCCAAACTAGAGACTTTTGAATGGAAAAACCCAATGTAGGAAAGCTGTGGAATAGGCTGAATAGCTCTACAGCCTTCTTGTGTCGATCGTTGATGAAAAACAATAGTTTAGTTTAACAGAATACACGAAGTAGTGTACGAAGTATGGATTTGGTTGTTCTTGAAACGTTGATCAAGACTACTATGATGCCCTTGAAACAAAAACAGAAATTTCGATTACACGCTTTGAACGTGTGCAGACGTTGGGTTGTACAGTGTTGTACTCTGCAGAACATGTTGATAAACGTCGAGTATTTGGTTTTTGATTGCAGAGGAGAATATTGTCCCGCGACGGTAACGCCGATGGTCTGGCGATCCAGTCAGGCAGCAGCAGCAACAACGGGAGCGGAGCGAGCGGCCTAGCGTCGTCCCATCAACACAACCACCACGGTGGCCAGCTCCAATCCTCCACGCAGGGTAACAACACTACCCATCACTTGCACAAATCCAGCGTCATGGCGAACCATCCGAAACAAGTTAGCAACAACAACAACAACAACAACAACAATGGCAATGGCAACAATAACAACAACAACAATGGCAACGGATCCAATCCTCAGGGTGATGGTGATTACCAGCTGGTCCAGCACGAGGTTCTCTACTCCATGACGAATCAGTACGAGGTCCTCGAGTTTCTCGGGCGGGGCACTTTCGGACAGGTCAGTCTTGCTCATTGACAATTAATCGTTAAAACAAGTTTGAGTTTTTGAATAAAAAGCGGTACCGTTTGGGAGTCCTTTGATTTAATTACATGTGCTGGATATCTGGAATACCCGCGCAAATGTTTCCCTATATATCTAGAGAAAAAAGTATTGAGATCGGTTTAAATAAAAGTCGATAGTGCGTGTACGGATTGGTCGAGGAAAAATCCTCCACAACGTGACTCTCGATTGTTCGGTGTATAACGATTGGGATTGTTTCTTGCGCCAATACTGCAAATTCAATACTTGCCCGACCACATATAAAAGTTTTTTTTTTTTTTTTCTTTTAATAAGAGCCAAACGTAATTCATTGTACTCTCGCGCGCTGCGAAGGTCCTGCCTCTCGGAAACACCTGCTGTGTAACATGACTTGGCTGCCGAGCTTTTTCTCGTCACTTTCTTTTGCAAGTGCATTAAGCGCGCTCGAGAAAACAATTCTGTGCGTTCGCCCATGCGTGTGCTAACTTTGTTTTTCTCGTAATAATGGGATTTTAATGGAGAAAACCTTACTTTTTTTTTTTTGTCGGCAAAATTGTGCGTTACAATCAAATGGTAGAGGATTGATTTTCACGGTAAAGTGTGTGTATAGGAATGCAAACAAGTAATACAAATAACACATTTAATCATAGAACTTAATAAAAATATAATAATAATAATAATAATAGCACTAATTAAAACGTTTTTTTAAATATTTTTGTTTAAAAAATAGTCTCTACTGTGAATCGCGAATTTTCATAGCACAAAATAAATATCAAGGCAAAAGTTTAAAAAACGATCCTTGACCGTAATATTTCTTCGCCCCTTGATCGAATTCAAACGCTGCTTTTCGATTTTATAAGCCTTGACAAGCGCTTTTTTAAGCTCCAGCAGTGTGTTTTATTAGTTTTACCCAACTTTTTCGACCATAAAAAAATACCGAACTTGAGGATTGCTTTTCCTCCGTAGGTCGTAAAATGCTGGAAGAAAGGCACCAACGAGATAGTGGCCATAAAGATTTTAAAAAATCATCCATCTTATGCTCGGCAAGGTCAAATTGAGGTGAGTACACACCATGAACTCTCTCTCTCACACACATACATGTGTCGCTTAATTTCTAATGATTGCATTTATTTTTATTTTTTTCTTTTGAATTCTACAGGTCTCCATCCTGTCTCGTCTCAGTCAGGAAAATGCGGATGAGTTCAATTTTGTACGTGCCTACGAATGCTTTCAGCATAAATCCCACACTTGCTTAGTGTTCGAGATGCTGGAGCAGAACCTGTATGATTTTTTGAAACAAAACAAATTCTCGCCTCTGCCACTGAAATACATCAGGCCGATCCTCCAGCAAGTGCTCACGGCGCTGCTCAAACTGAAAGTGAGTAGAAGTGTTTTTTTATTACTTATTCTTTAAAACTGTTGTTTTTCACACAAGTAACCCGAGTTATTTTAAAATTAGAACCATTGTTGCTTCCAAGTGCATTGTTTACTAGATAATTTTTTCACTAGAGGTAAAGAATGTGTTTTGTTTGCCTTCGCTGTAATTATAGTCGAAGAGACTAGTGAGAGCTACGACTGCTCGATGATAAATAAAATAAAAACCCACACGTGTGCACAAGCAAATAACACAAATCTCGATGTTACAGCAACTGGGTTTGATCCACGCGGACCTGAAGCCAGAGAATATCATGTTGGTTGATCCCGTCCGACAGCCGTACCGCGTCAAAGTGATAGACTTCGGCTCGGCCTCACACGTATCGAAGGCCGTCTGCAACACATACCTCCAGTCGCGATACTACCGTGCCCCAGAGATAATACTTGGTCTGCCATTTTGCGAGGCTATTGACATGTGGTCGCTCGGCTGCGTCGTCGCCGAGCTATTCCTGGGCTGGCCTCTATACCCCGGTAGTTCGGAATACGACCAAATTCGCTATATTAGCCAGACCCAGGGTCTGCCAACCGAGCACATGCTCAACAATGCCAGCAAAACGACCAAGTTCTTCTACCGGGACATGGATAGTAAGTACTTTTCAAATGAAATTGACACGGCCGATCGTAAGTATTTTTCGTTATCTGCTGTTTAATCATTTCGCCTATTCTATACAACAACAATTGCTCATTAAGCCTCGGATTTTTACATGCTAGCGTTGCGTTCGTTCTTTCAGGTACGTATCCGTTTTGGCGTCTTAAAACCCCCGAGGAACACGAAGCTGAGACCAGCATCAAGTCCAAAGAGGCCAGAAAATACATCTTCAACTGTCTCGACGACATTGGCCAAGTCAACGTCCCCACAGATCTCGAGGGAGGCCAATTGCTCGCCGAAAAGGCCGATCGACGAGAGTTCATCGACCTACTCAAGAGGATGCTCACAATGGACCAGGTAGTAATATTTAATTCGACCAATCATTACTCTGGAAAGAGAGAAAGTCACTTTTCACGCAACAATAATGTAACATACAATTGTTATTTAATTTTCTAGGAGCGGAGAATAACACCAGGCGAAGCCTTAAATCACGCCTTCGTGACCCTAGCCCACCTCGTTGATTACGCTCACTGCAACAACGTCAAAGCCTCGGTGCAGATGATGGAGGTCTGCAGGCGTGCCGGTGACTTTACGGCCAGTCCGCCGCACCATCAACCCGCTCCGGCCCCACAGCCACCACCAACGTCTCTCGTGACCAACTTCCACGTACCAACATCCAACGGCACTGCCGTCACCCTCACCTTCAACAACCAAGTGCAGCGTCTGGTGCGCGAACACCGCACCGCGCAGTCTGGCTACGACGGCCTCTACCAGATCTACAGGCCAGACAACGGGCGCCGAACCACCCAGTACAGTAGCTCGTCCAGCAGTTCGACCGGCGGCCGGGGCGGGGTCCACGATTTCCCGCACCAACTGGTGCCAGGCATTCTATGCCCACCGCCTGGCTATCAGACCATGCCCAGTCCCACCAAGCACGTCGTCGTGGCGCAACCTCCCCAGGCCCAACAAACCCCGCTGCAGATACAGCCCTCCATCATTTCCCAGCAAGCGGTGGCGGCGGCTGCTGCGGCTGCGGCCACCCAGCAGTACGCGGTTCCCGTTTCGATGGTGGAAACCGGCCGGCAGATGCTTTTGACGGTAAGTAATATTACTACTGCTACTCGTGTACTCATTGGTCTTGGACCATATCTCATGGTTATGCCTTTTGTTTTGACGTGAAAACCTGCAGAACGCGGTGCAAACATCCTGGCCCGGTGGTAGCAGGCAGATGGCCGCGATCGTGCCTTCATGGCAGCAGATACCGCCCCAGCACGCTGCCATCCAGCAGCCACTGCTGAGCGACGCCGCGGAATGGGGCAGGCCGCTGCTGGTTGAAAGCTCGATCTTACAGCAGAGACCAGTCTTTCCGGTTACCGAGGTCTACAACACGAGCGCCCTGGTGGACCACGCGCCTCCTCAGAATTGGGGCAAGCGTAGCGTGAGCAAACACCATCAGCACCATCTGAGCGTGCCCCAGCAGTCGCAGCACCGTAGCCACGAGCACAAAAAGGAACAGCAGCAGCAGCAGCTTAGTCCCGTGAAGAAGCGCGTCAAGGAGAACACGCCGCCGAGCAACAGCGGCCGGGGCAGACTTCAGCACTCGCCCCTGCCGACGATACAGCCATCGTCGTCGTCGTCGTGGCAGTCGTCTTCGCAGCCGGTACTGGCCTCTCAATCCTCGGCCTCCTTGACGTCGCACCATCACCACCACCACCATCACCACCACTCGTCGTCCTCGTCCTCGTCTTCGTTGTCCTCGAGCAAGCACCATCAGCACCAGCAGAACGATCATCCGGTTCAGGGGTCGTACGGAAGACAGCAAACTATCACCATTCATGACACGCCCTCGCCCGCGGCCTCTGTTATTATAATAAGCAGCGACGACGACGACGAGTCCCCGGAAAAAGGGTGAGTAACTATATTTGCCGGGTTTTGGTCCGACTTGACTGGACTTTCTCGTCAATAGCTATCTTCTTCATAAAATTTTCAACAGTGTTGTACTGTTTTTCAATGACCAAACGAACCGTCAATGACAAATGATTAAGTAGCTATTGTAAAACAAGTCAAACCTATCTTTCTGAACCATATACCTGTACGTGTAAGCCATGCAAGCTCAAACAGCGCTCTACTATCATAATTAAATGTCATTGACAGCTGTGGAGACCGACAGTGCAATGCTTGTCAGAGCTTGGCACCCCGCCTGTCTGGCGATGGACGTCCTGCCCGTGAGGAGGTCATTAGAAGGTATATTTATAAAGATACGAAATACACATTGCTGTCTGATCCCCTCCCCCCCCCTAAGATCAAAGATAATCAAACTAACAAAAGGATCGTTTATGCTGATAATTAGATGTGCACCATCCAGCCTCCTATGTTTTTCCCCCCCCCCTCCTTAGTTATGTTTACATTCGAGGCGCTGCATGTGTATTTCGTGTTTATTGTTTTTATACTACGCTGACTGTATTCTCTCGGCAGAGGTGGACCAGTTTTTCTTATTTTTAATTACAGGATTTCAATACTAATGCTCATTAAAAAAAGAAAGAAACAAAAAACCATTAGCTTTTATTCTCAGACGTTTGGGTTGCACAGCTTGGAGTGAAAGTTTGTTCCTTGATTCATCGACTAACATTATTCGCACAATCTCCAACTTGAGTTCTAGTTTCATTGCGTAATCTCTGTTGAAAAAGTCGTGGATGCTAATGAATTGCAACGAAAAATAAATTCTTCAACACCACACAGCTATTTTAACACTTGATCGGTGTAAGGAAGAAGATCTCGTCTAATTTGGTGTCTTTTTGTCGTTTTAAAGCACCGAGTCGACACCAAAGGCAATGCACAGCAATCAGACCCAACAGGCTCATTCGACGACGAACAACGTCTCGTCTTCGTCCTCGTCGTCCCAGCGCGCTCTGCGCAAAAACGTCATCAATTGCGTGACAGTCGCGGATAGCGATGGCGAGATCAGTCCAACGAACGGTCGGATCCACCACCATCAGACGATATTCTACCCGCAGCCGTCGATCCCGCTGACTCAGCACCAGCAGCAGACGACCCAGCACATAAAGCACGAGCCGCAGCCACAGCACCATATCAAGTGAGCTGATTTTTTTTTTTTTTTTTTTTTTTTTTTTTTTTAATAACACTGTTTTTGGTGTGTTTTTTTTTACACGTGTTTTTTTTTTTGTAGTTCTGGCTACTCTTCACAATCTCAAAAGAAGCGTCTGTTGGCGAAAGTACAGTCAGAGTGCAATGTGATGAACGTCCCGACGAAACCTGAGCCTGGTGTTGAGTACCTCTCGCACCCCTGTCACGCAGCCGCTTGCAAGGAAGCACCGACATATCAGGTACATTGCAAAGTCAAACCATTTTCCACAAGTGTAGTTTCGCTTTTTCCGTCAGTCGTACTTTTTGTCCAACAGTGACACAAATCTTGCAATTTTTTTTATTGAACAAATAAATCATCAGATCGCTTCAAGTGTATACTTTGCGCTGTGAAAAAGCCTAACGACTAATCTCGATGTGGTCTAATACTTTTACAGGATGACGGTGGCTATGATTACAATGAATACTGTTTACAGTACGTGACGACGAGCAACGCCCAGGTGGTACAGGCGCCGGCAGTGCTGCCACCACCCCCTCACCTGCTGGAGCAGCATATCGTTTATACGACGACGGGCGCGGACAAGCGAGTCTCGTGGCCGAGTAAGCGCGAGTACGTGCAGCCTCCAGCGGCGCATACCCGAGAAAAGTGGGCAGTTGCTGCTGCCAGCGGGGTGCACAGTTACAGGTACTGTGACAAGTTTGAGTGCCATGGCGTGGGTACTTACTACCGCAAACGCAACAGTTTCAAGCATGTGCATCTGTAAATTTCGTGATATGCCTGACTATCGTTGGAGTATGACAAACGGATTGATAATTATTTCAAAATACTAGACGCTTGTGATTTTTTATGTTTATTTTTTTGTTGTCATTTGTCTGATGAGTGTGCCAGTGTGAATCTCTATTATGTTTATTTTTTTTTAATGTTATGTGTGTTTGATAATTTTATGTGTATCATTTTTTTATGGCTTTTGCTTGTGTGTCCAGTGTGAAATCGATGAATGTTGAGGGCGGCGGCGGTAGCGAAGTGGTTTAGGAATGCGTTTTTTGTACGTGTATATACTTGAAATGCACCTCTGAAAAACTCATTTCACATGCGCGTATTCCAATGGTTTGGAAGCCATATGTAAATAATGTAAAATAAGATGTCTTCATTGTTGTGACTCAATTGATTTTCAATACTTTTGGGACGATTTGTTCCTGTGACAATGAGAATAGAAGAATAACACAGCAATGCAGAGTTAAATGGACTTTACTTAGTACCTTTAAACTAGGCTGTGAAATAAAATTAAAAAAAGAAAAAAAAAAATAATAATAATAACAATTTGTTTTAATTTAAAAAAAAAAAAGAAAAAGTACTAAAAAAATCCACGATTGGTTAATCCAATTTATGGTAACATTATTGTTATTCTGTGATGTACGAATTTCTGGCTATTATTGTGACATGCTCTTATATGATTATTTTATTTATAAATTTATTTATTTGTGTGACTATTTTTAGTTGCACAATTTTTGTATAATGAATGTATTTAATTCTAAAAATTTCATGGGCATGCTGACAATTTTATTTTTACCATGAGTTATAGTGTATATCACATCAAACAATAATAAAAACAAATAACACCCAAAATTTTCCTTTACACGCTTTGAGTCAATCAAACATAATTTACCCTTTCTTGGCGATTTTTTCGTATTATTATCATTATTATGATTGTTATTGTTTCTGTTTTTATAACTAAATTATATTTAGTCGATGCACGGGTAGTGGAACCACTGAAAAAAACGCAAAATATAGTCACATGTATGTAATGCAAAATAAATCCAAAAGTCCCACCTGAAAATCCTAAAAACACAATAACAAAGTGATTATTTCTATTGTTTGCAGGCAGAGCCAAGTTGTGGGTAGCGGAGCCGTGCACCCAAGTCATGGGGTGTCGAGCCACGCGCACGTCTCGAGTGCAGCCCACCACCTGAGCCCTGGTGGCACGTCCTTGATCGGCAGCAGCAGCAGCGGCATCGGCTCGAGCTCCGGAATTCCCGTGAGCAGCGGTGGCCGTAGTCCCGGCGGAGCCGTCGCCCCGGCTATGATAGCCGCGAGTGCCCAGCACCTTGGCCAGCCGCTCTACCAAGAGTACGCCCACGCAGTGCGACCCAGGGCCCACCCGGTACCACCGCCCGTCTACGTGACCGCAGCACCGCCCAGCCAAGCGGCACCACCACCTCAACAGCAAGCGCTCCCTACCTACCAGGGATTCACACCCGGGTGGGTACCTAGACACCTAGTTGATGCATGCACGTGTGTACCACTTTTATTATCTTTTATTAGTATTTTAATTTAGTATCTAGTTACACGTTCCCGTTTCAAGGTTTTTCATGGTATTACACGAGGATTTGCATTACAATTGACTGGGATTTCCCACGTAGAGTAATTCTATATTGCATGTGATTATATACGTGGAAATACATGAATATCCTTAAATTGGGACACATCGATGCGGTATGTGTTTGTGCGTAATGTAGATTTGTTTATACGGGTCACATTTAAGAACTTGAATACGCGGTTTTCAACGTATATGACATCGTACATTGTCAAGAATTAATGCAAGTACTTAACATGCTGTGAGGTGTTTCTCTTGAGACCGTAAATATTTGTTTGGTTTGGAAACTTATTTGCAAAGCTCTCTCTCTTTTACACTATGCATTTTTGGTTTTTTCGTTACTTTTGTGAAATTGAGTTTTTATATTTAGTTTTTTGTCACGTAAGTATGTTTTTTTTTTTTTTTTTTTTTTTTCCCGTAATTGATTTGTTATTCCTTGTTTTAAGAAAGCCGAGCCATTTTGGGACGTAATTGTAGCAAGCACGTCAAACAGTATTAAAGTAATTTTCGAGTTGTTGTTATCTTCAAGTTTGCATTGTAGTTTTGTTTTTTTCAGAGAAACGAGTAATAAAGTAGTATCACTATTTTTTTTTTACTTCTCTTGTGACGTATAAGCCTCGTAATAGTCGACAATACAATTTGAAATTTTTTCAGATTCCCTAACAATTAAGCTCTCGGATCACTCATTTTTCTTTCAGCGTCCCTTTACATATTTTTCCCACCAACCTCCGTAGCGTAATTTGCTTGTTCGTAATAATGTGCGAAAAATGGGCATTTTCCGCACTTTTTTTAGTACATAAAATTTAATTTCCTACAATGTTCGTAAAAAAAAATGTGCGTAAAATATTTTGCGGTCTGCAGCGAAGGTCGTTTATTTTCCGGTGTTCAAAAAATTATTATTCAAAATACTACACAAGTATGTGTAAAAGTTGAATAAAGTAGTACAATACTATTTGAGACAGCTTGATAATTATGTCACCAGCGAGCTGTATTACTGATATGCGATTAGTGCTGAATATTATCAGCAACTTCTATCTACATGATAAAACGTAGAAAATTGAGTTTAACAACATATTTGTATTTTGTTATTTTTTTATTAGACTCTTTAGTCCCACAGTTAAAGAGTTAAAATAGTTTTGTACGCACACTCAATAAATTTTACTGTTTGGTTAATCCAAGGTTGAATAATGGTTACAATTCCACGTAATTATTTATTTGTATGATGGAAATTTTTTTTTACACCCAGTTCATTTTCATACTTTTGAAAAGTGCCAGTAAAATCTTTTTTAAAAACGGTAATTTGATGTTTGTGAGCTTCGCCCCCATGCATACCCTCCACCGAAAGCTCTGACCCTTGGACCTAGAACATCTTTTTTGGGAATCATAAACACAAGTACATGCTTCACTTAAAATTTATCAGCCATTCAACTTTGGACAGAGAAACATGGATTTCTATAAATATCTTGATGTAAGGTGCAGAAACCATAAAAGCCCTTTTTCATTATTGTTTTCTCGAAACTTGTGCCCATTTTTCTCGCATACATGCATTACGAAAAGTCTTGTACGCGACCCTTGCAGAATAGCCGCGTTATTTGTCGCAAGGGGGTGGGAAAAAAAAAAAAAAAAAAAAAAGACTTTGTCCCTGAAATGATTTTCACAAGATATATAAGACCATATACATAAAGCCGGGCAGAAAAACTTGACCTTCGAGAGACACCCCTCTGATTGCAGCTCCTCGCCGCTGGCCCTGTACGATTCGAGCCGCGCTCTGCCACCGCCGGCCCACCACAGCTCGGCCCGGCCGTTGCTGGCCTCGCACGCGGCGCACCCTCTGCCCGCCCACATGCAGCCTACCGCGGTTTACGGGCTGGCCCCTTTGTCGCCCGCCAAACACCAGTACCATCAGTCCAGCTTTTGGCTGACCGAGTGAGCTGACGCCAACGAGGCTGGACACGTCCTCGTTACCCTGGACTGCCACCAGCCGTGGAGACTTGCGTAAAACAGTCGCAACCAACCTCTCATTTTTTTTTTTTTTTTTTTTTTTTTTTCTCTCTCTATCGTCCACACCTCTGACGAATTTACTCTTTTGGTACGGATACGATTACGTTCTAGTCTAAATTACGCGTCGAGACGGTGGACCCTTTTTTTTTTTTGGTCCCGATGTTTATTGTATGAATTTCGTGAACAATGCATGTGTCGAAACTTTGTTTTTTTTTTTTTTTTTTTTTTTTTTTTTTCCAGCGAGGCCAATCGTTTGTGTAAATAAAAAGAAATCGGACGAAAGATGCGGCTTTCTTGAGAAAAAAAAGTGTGTAGATATGGTTTTTTTTTTTTTTTCTTTTTCTTACCAAAAACGAATGGACGCCCATGGCAATGAATTTTGGCTCGAGAATTTGATTTTACACACGCGTATACAAATGCCTCGACTCTTTTACCAAAGTCTCGTTTGTGCACGTATCGAACATGGGAGTGATTTAATAAATGAAAAAAAAAAAAAAACACATCAAAATCGATGGCTTTACTCGAGAGTGTAATCAAGAGTCTTAACGTATACTTGGACCATTGCGCAAAGTATCGCGGCCGGAACTCAAAAAGCGCACGTTTTAATATAATTATNTGATCTGCCATTTTATATTGACCACCATTTTGGGTTTCGAATGCTTGCACATATTTTAAAGAATTTTTATCATTATATACTATTATTTAATACCCATATTTGAGGGGTTTAAATATTATAAAAAATTCACCATCTTGTATTGACCACCATTATGAGAGTTTAAATGGGGCCACAAAAGTTAAATGTATTCCACATCTTAATCCCTTTTATTCGATATCCATATTTGGAGAACTAAAAAAATATTGATAATTTGCCATTTTGTATAAACAGCCATTTTGGAATTCAAATAATGGTACACATTTAAATGTATTATACTCTGTAAACCCTCTTATTTGATACCCATATAAGGGGTGTTGTAAAAATATCAACAATCAGCCATTTCGTATTGACCGCCATTTTTTATTTTAAATATTATAGGAAACCTTGACTTATTCTACGTTTTATGGTCGCTGAGTATGTTATCATTTCCAAGTAGTTAAGACGAAAAAAATCTGGTTATAACAGAAATAATGGAAATCATTTATATTTTCGTATATACTGCCGACATATTGCTACCGCCATCTTGAATCTTAGAGAATTCATAAAAGCTTGATTTCTGGGAAAACTGAATTTTAAGCGATCATTTTACTATGTTCCTGGTGAAAATTTTATGCAAAATATAATGGTTTTTGAAATTTTGGGGCACTTTTGGGGATTTTTACTGCCCCCCTAGTACCGTATCGAAACTTTGGACCAATTTTCCCTTAATCTACGATTCAAAACCTTCAAAATAAAAAAAAAAAAACATCAACATACGAGTTTACTGTCGGGAGCTATCTTATTTAAGAAAAATTTTTTCATTTCGTCCCACTGTGAGGCGGTAGGGGGATAAAGAAAAATGCCAGTGGCCTTTCATGTGATTTTCCTTACCACTCTATAGCACTCACCCAAACATTTCTTTATAGTTTCGAAAAAAATTTTTCTGTTAAGAATAAACGTTTTTATTATGCTGAAAAAAGTCATTTTAAAAATTAAATGTAATTGCACCTGTTTTACAACAGCCTAGGAGGTAATTAGATCGTTTTTTTTTTTGTATAATAAACTTGTCTTGACACGCTCGCACGTAATCAAAGTAACCGGTATAGAAAAGAAAAAATGTGTACAACACAGCGGGGGAAGATAAAACGACACACACCGACAATCCGTCCTTTGAAGCTTCTTGAGCCAAAAGAGATCCTCCTTGCGTTGCATTATATATACATGTGTAAGTCCCGCTCGCACTGCCCGACGTGTCCGAAATCTCTCGCATTGTACACCCCCTCGTTGTAACAAATCATATTTTCATGCGTGCGCGCAACGTAAGAAGACAGCACCGACGTATTTCCCTCTGCTATCCAACTTCATCCGGCCGCTTTACTTCGCGACGTGCCCACATGTATTATGTATAATAAAAAATAAAAGAAAAGACTCTATCCTACGATATATGATATATGTATATGCGTGGATGACGTGTGATTAGCGCAACTGATGATGTAACATTGTGAGCCATTTTTAAGGGGAGAGAGATGAAACGAAGCGACGCAAAATCGAGTGACAAGAAGAAGAAACCGATCTTGCAAATGTGTACATGTATATAAATATGCGAGGGAAAAACAAAAAAAAATTTGCTGTTTTTTTAATTTAACGATGCGCTGCTCCCCTCTTCCGTGCATGCGCAATGGTGTACTACTCGATGCGACATGTAATCTTTCTCTCGCTGGGCGAGAGGAGCGTTTTTCTTTTCTCCCCAAGGTTCGTCCTTCGACCTATATATTATTGTGTAAAAATAAAAATTGTATTCGTGTATATATACATGTAAACGACATGCTGCGTACCCCCCCCCCAGAAACACCTTTGTACATAGACGATTTTTGTTTCGTTGTCTGTGGGGCAGGTGGTTGTTCGTTCGACCTATGCATGAACACAAGAGAAAAAGTTTCGGAGGAGGAACACATTTTTAGCATGGGTTTGGTTTTCCTTGCCGTTTTACTCGGTCGCAGTTGTCGAAATATTGTACGAGGGTTTAATCATGTGAACGCTCGTATACACGAAACGTAAGAGGCACGTGCGCGATCGATTGGGTACGTCGTTTGTTGTAATTAATCATACGTATAGTCGACGACTGAATTTACGAATTTTACCTTTTTTTTTCTCCTTCTTTCGACTGCACTAAAAACTAATGATTATTGCTTTAATGATGTGTTTAATTAACGAACAATGGTATGATTGATGAGTATCGTCTATTCTAAGCTTTGATAAGTTTTCAATTGGAGCACTTGGCGTTTTATCGATGGGGTGGAGAAAAGCAAAGGTTCGCACGTTCGTCGAAAAAAGTCAGATGATGATCGATAACTCGTTACTACTTTAAGTACATATAAGCTATGCTCTAATTTTCTTCGCATTGAACTGACGCTTTACAAGTGTAATATAAACGTGTAAATTTAAGAGGTTTTTTTTTCGCACATCTCTTTTTATTGATGTATAATTTAACGTATAGGTCATAGGTGTCCCGCACTTCCTTTCGGTAATGGAAGAAGATGATGATGATGATCGAGAGCTGTGTATTTATTGAGACAAATAGCGTTCACTACTTGATTATTTGATAATTAATTTTTTTTTTTTTTTTTTTTCTTTTTTTCTTACTCACATGGCACAAAACAGCACATGTATTGCGTGCTAGTGTGCTTCTTGTAAGGAGATGATTTAACTATATTCGCTGCAGGCTTGCGACTGCTACGGGGAAAAATCGTAACGGTTGATCAGACGATTTTTCGCTGCACTGCTACATTATACGAAGAAAAATCTATGTATACGTTTGTATATCATTTGATTACCTTGTTATCGAAACGTTGTTTTTACCTAACTGTACATACATGTATAGGAATATATGAATTTTCACGAGCGTAGAGAAACCGTACCCCCAATTCTTGCTCGGTGATGATTTTCAAATCAAGTATAGATTAAGATTTTTTTTTCTCCTTGGTCAATTTAATCTTTGGCATAAATATTAGATATAGAAGACACAAAGCTCACGTAATCACCATATCATCCTTATTGATGTTTTATTGTGTTGTACGAAATTAGTGGATTTTTTTTTTTTCTTCTTTCGTAGTAAAAAGGTAGAAAGTTCGAGGAGAGTTATGTTTTGCCTTGTTTAATCGAGAATAGAGGGACGGAGAGTAGAATTTAAATGAAAGAGTAAGAAGAGATATTTTATTATTAAAATAAATAAACAAATAAAAGATAAATGCGCAACAGACTTTAGTAGGAGGATATACTTGTTAGTCGCGTTAAATTTACCATTTACCAAATTGCTTGCTTTTCGACGAGGAAACAGAAAATCCTGAATACGTTTTCACAATGCTTTTTTTCAAGTGGATATACGTACCACTTAATGAAGAATCCCTAGAGATTTTTTGCTTTTGTATATTTTAATCACTCGTATTTATTTATTTTGGGATGCGTATTTATAGTCGTACGGATAGGCAGTAGCGTTCGATCAAACGTTTGACACGTCATCGTTTTTCCTTAAATACAATAAAACGTATCTTTACGTACATACATCTATTGTAAATATTATATACATATATTTGTATAAATCAAAAGCACTTTTTATTTTAAACTCGAGGTAGTACCTACATTGTTTTTTCTTCTGTTTTTAATCAAGATCTTCCTTTGAATTTTCTTTATTTTTATTTATTTTTTTTTTTTTATTGAATTGCATTCAAATGATAATTTTGAAGCTTCCATTACAATTTTGTTGTATTATTATTTAATTGTACGAGCAGAGAGAAAGTGCTATGTTTTATTTCTGCTCGTTATTCTTGTGCAGTGGATTATGTACTACGTTAAGATGTTTAATTCAACGAGTACGTTTATCGCACGGTAATAATATATTCGCGATGTGCAGTAATGGTACAAAAAGTGAAAAAAAACTTTTCAATTCGTGTGAAGTTGCTTTTGAAGGTATAGCTAGGGGAAGAGGGAAAAACTAAGTAATTAGCTATTATATCAAACGGATGGGGTTAATATGTCGATTGTAAGTGATATAAGCGTCCAGGACGAATAAATATTTACGTATTGTGTGTAATATATTATCGTACGATGACTATGACCGAGGAAAATTAATAAGAAAAACGTTGAAATATTTTAGAAAACACGTCACAAATATCTTAGGTTGTCCTTTTACTCGATAAACTTTAGTGGTTTACACACATATGTATAAGCGACAGGGCCAATAATGATCCAGAGCATGTATTATATCATACATGTGCAGTATCTATGAAACATTTGGGTCTGTATGCTATATTTTTTTTCTTTTTCTTTTTCTTTTTTTTTTGTAATATACGTCTTAAATTATTGAAAATAAATATT